GAGGATCCACCAATTCCCAAGTCTGATTTTTGTGGAGGGCATTAATCTCCTCCTTCATGGCATCTACCCATTCAGGGCATTTTAAGGTTTCTACAACATTTTTGGGAACAAGGATGCAAATACTGCCGATAGGAAGGCTCGGTACGAGGGAGAAATGTGGTCATAGGAGACAAAGTGGGTAATGGGGTGTTTGGTAGTGCAGGACCTGACTCCCTTTTGTTGGGCAATAGGGATGTCAAGGTCATCCACAGTAGGAGTAGGGTTAAGGGATGGACTTACCTCCTAGGAGTCTGATGGTGTCGGTTGCTCAGTGTTTGACTACTCCACATTTCTATCACCTCGCTGATCTCTCTGACGTGTACGTTGGAAGACACGGAAGGGAGTAAGGTCCGGAATAGAAGGAAGAGATACCTGAACCTACTTCTCCTTTTCCACACTACGACTCTCCCCTTGAGGAGGAGGGAAAAATGGCTCGGACTCAAAGAAGGATACATCCATAGACACAGAATTTACGACTAACTGGGTCAAAGCACCGATACCCTATTTGAGAGGAGGGGTACCCCAGAAAGACACAAGGAATGGACCGAGGGTCTAACTTACCTCGGGATGGAGATAAATCATGGATGTTGTAAGGCTTGAGTCTTCCTTGTAACTGATGTTAGTAGGACAGTTTCAGCTACTAGTCCTTTCTTTCTTTCATTTCTTATTGTTCTTATCCTAGGATATGCCGCCTGGGGCATACTTGTAATTTTGCCTTTTTTATAAAGATTAATATAAATAGAAGACTGGCGGCTGCCAGTACTGAGTTTTGCTTTTCTGTCTATCATCCGTACCTCTCTTTTCTCTCTCTCTCTCTCAATCATCACAAAGAAACTACATGGTATCAGAGCGGAATTTCTGGGCTGGAGAAGACCTACGATCCTAGCATCAGTCTTTCCAAAGGGGATTGGACGTGGCTCCTTTTGTTTCAGAAGAAAAAAGGAAAAAAAAAACCCTAGCAGTGGCTTGTGTTTTCAATTTTCTCTGGCAACTGTGCTTGCATAAACCCTAGTAAGTCCTGCGGCTATACTTCTGCTGAAACCCTAGTGGCTCCATGCGACAGTTACTGAAAACCCTGGCCGTGGGATGGTGCTGGTCTGCTGAAACCCTAATCGAAGGAGGGTGTTGATGGTGCAATGAAACCCTAGCAGGTTCTGATCTAGTGYTGAACAGGTGTGRTTTTGTTTYARTTTATCTCAGTATTCTTTATCCAATGGTGCGTAGGGCTTATGCCTTGATTATATGATTACTAGTTTGAATAATTGGATGGTTAGAGTGGGAGAACCACATTCGGACTGACAGTAATGTCTGTATTGGTGGTGCTGAACCGATGACTGGACTATTTATTGTTCTGTTTGGACGTTGTAGTGACTGATCTCTCATTCTCAACAGTAGTTCTTGTGCTCTCAGCAATATTCAATAGTTTGTTGCTCACATTCTAGGAGTAAACCCTGAGTTGCCACATTCAAGTTGTGGTGGTTGTGCTGTTAGGTGGCATTTGGACTGGTTGGTTGTAATTTTCAATGGCAAGTCATGAACTGACCTCACCGGGAAACACCTCAACCTGCAACACAGCAGGTATGGGAGGTATGGGAGGTGAAACCATGGTTTTTCCAATGCCAATTACCCCCTTGAATGGTCTGAACTACCTGGAGTGGGCTAAGAGTGTAAAACTCTATGTAACAGCATGGGGTAAGGCCGATTACATCAATGGAAGGGTGAAAGAGCCCAAGGGTGATACAGCTGAACATGATAGGTGGGACCAAGAAAACAGTATGGTGATGTCTTGGCTCCTCGCAGCTATGGAACCTGATGTGAAGAAGAATTTTATGTGGGCAGACACCGCCAGTGAGATCTGGGAATAGGCCAGAAGTACCTATTCTGAGCAAAGGCATTATGCCAAGATTTA